CTTCTATAACATATTTGAGGTAATGATCGAAGGAATAAAATTTTTTACAACAATTTCGATTTTTAAGCTATTTTGAAGTGTTGAATTTCTCACAAAAGGTGATTCTTTTTGAAGCCGACATTTCGCCAAAAACCAATATTTTCATTGTTCCTTCGATAATGTATTCATCCATCATAATGTTACATTTTATTTGGTTTTCGGGTCTCATAAAAAGAAGCAAAAATATCTTCCTCATCACCAGACATCTTTTTTTTGAGAGGCCCTTCTGGAGATCGGCTACAGGAACAAGAGGATCTAATATTTAATAAAATGAATCGTTTAATATTAAATTATATTAAATTCTGCCTTTTGAAATTTTTTTTTATTAATTTATAGAATAAAATTCCTTACCCCTTAATGGTAAAATACAAATATATAAAAGTCCTACAAATACCGGAACCGATTTTCAATTACAGTTCCACCATATCGGTGTTACCTCAGGCCAACCTGACAAATCTACAAATGAGTGGTTATTCACCACACGGCAAATCTTGGAAACGACCCATTAGAAAAGGAAAAGGGTGGACTTTTACGTCTTTGTATGCTGACGCTGTGGGTCACAAAAACTTCTCTCAGTATCTGCAAGTATTTCTCAGAGTCCTTCGATATTCAGCAGAGGTGATGGATCGTGTGCCTTCCTTAATTGAATGATATGGAAAATAATACCAGCGACAGAGCTGAATGGTGAAAATACCACATACTACAAGAGCTTGCAACTTCTGGCGCAGGCCAACAATATTAACATCAGACTAAAAGAAGAAGCATGGTATAAGGTCGGTTCAGTGATGCATGAAGACTAAACGGAATACCTCATATAATCAAACAAACAATCATAGTTATCGCGACCTTATTATTCTTGACAGTCATAACTTTGAGGTCAAATTAAAATTAAGTGCAAGTGATACTCAGACGACATCAGGAGACTTCCTGTCGCTGTCCTAAGGGCAATATTCTGGCAAACCTGCAGCTTCCTCAACTGCGTCTTCTTCGTCTCAGATACCCAGATTTGTGCGGCATAGTTAACGACCGGCCGGCCAATTGCTTTGTAAGTTGCCAGCAAAGTTTCGCTGCCTTTACCCTAGGTGTTGACGGCTAGAACTTTGAGTATTTCGTTGCGGCTCTGGAGTTTCGCGGTAATTGTGGTCGTATGCGGCGTGAAGGAGTGCAGGCTTTATAGTGTCACTACCAATATCTTTGGGTTATTTACAGTCGGAATTTTTACGTCATTGACATTCGCATCTAGTTCAAGCCTATATGCCTTCGTCTAGCTCGTGAAACGGGTAGTCCAATATTCGGTTGTCGGTTGTCGGTCGATTGTATTTTAAGCTGTCGTGCCGTGAAGTAGTGGGACTGGTTGTACCTTCTGGCGGAAGAGGGAGCTTCAATTTATAGTAGTCGGACAATAATGGGATGAGGACACCACCATGAGGTACCCTGGTTTAATCTTCCTTAGTTTTGGTGTTTTTTTTTCGAGATTCTACCCATGATTGACGACCACTCAAGAAGCCCATGTAATGAGGACTCCTCAATATGCGATAGTGGCACCGAATGGTTGGGGGTGTCAAAAGCTTTTGACAAATCCACCAGGATAATTCGCGGACAGTGCCGGTTTTGGTTGAGACCATTGACCATTGTGGATATACTGCTGGACTCAGATGGTGTGTGACATTGGGAGCAGTAAGGCCTCAAGTATCTACGCTACTGGGGAGAGGGAGGATATCGACCGATATAGCTCTCCTGCTGGCTTGAGCAGCAGGACCACTCTGCGCATTTTCCACGCATAGGATAAAATTAGTTTATTCACAGAAGCGGCTTTTCAGACATATAAGGCCTTATTTTCTTGATTATATGTAGTAAAGTGAAATTTATTAAAGTTTTAAATCATTTTCAACGCTCTGTTTACTCAATATAGCCTGTCGAATTAGAAATAAATTTAATATGACCACAGCTAAATCGGGGATTGTATGTTTGAAAGTCAGCATTTTGTTCGTTCCCCAAAGAAACCATGCATTTTAATTTCGACAGTTCGTAGCCCGTAGCTCGTGGCTTTGATTATGTTTTCAAGTTTAATGGAACTAACGTAAAATGGTTAAACATTCTTTCAATTATTTAAGGCTGATTCACCTACCTCATTGGTCACCTTGCTTGATCGATGAAATTATGACTACAAAGCGAAGCAAACGGAGACCAAGCGAAATTTTTTATTTTTGTTGTTTAATGCCTTTATAAAAAAATAACAAAATTTAATTTTTTTTTTATTTTTTCTCTTCTGTTAAGTTTTAAAATCATTCATTGCACTAGAGAATTCTTCCTTATCGGCAGCATTTTGCTGTTATTGGTTTCATTTTACGTACTTTGAGCGTTTACTTTATTTACATTTCTTTAATTTTATGCATAAATAGTCTTCAATAAGTAAGCAAACACAAAGCTTTTTTGGTTCAATTTCACACATTTACACGTAAGCAGCTGATTTCGAAAATGCCTTTTCTCTTTCTCTTCCTCTTTCGGATCTTTCTTAACTTAGAATGCCGAACTACGAATATTGCGGAGCGGAGAGCGGAAATGTAATCGAAATGCGGCTCATATCTGCCGTTATTTCACATTTCGCTTGGCCATCGAAACCAAATTTTGTTCTACTGAAAATTCGATATTTCGAATTCGATATTTCGACAGAGTTGCCTTTGCAGAATTCCATTAGCTGCGCCAATCACGCGTTTGGGTTCCTATCAGGCGTTTTGCGTGACAGATTGAAGCTCAACGTCAACAACCAAATTGGACCTTATCAACCAGAGAAAAGAGCATCGAAACACTCCACCTATTTTTCGATTTTAAAACATGATTCGACAGCACTCAAAGTAGCTACATCTATGCCGGTATGTGTGAACTAAGTATCCCCGCGAAGTTTTAAGTAAACTGACGATGGAAAACAACAGAAGCGAAGTCGAAGTCGCGCCGAGCCGTTACTTGGTTGTTTTAGCATTTTAAACTGTTTAAGAGCTTTATTACGGAGAGCATACTTGCTTGGCGCCATCTTACAAATACTTGCTGTCAAATTGCTTGAAATCAGCGGGCAAAATGACGGTTAGCAGGCAACCGATGATCTCAAGTGGAGACTTATTAACTACTTTTTGCTTGCAGTAAACATTTGTCGTTGTACAGCCTTTAAAGTAGGTAAACTTAGCGTCGGTTTCCGGTTTGAGATCACAGCTATGATCACCGGAGTGATTTAGTTTTTCTTTTCAGTTTAATTCCAGTTATAAGTGCAGGGTTGCATGAATAATTTTGACAACCGATAAAAGAAACCCAAAATGGCAAGAAAGCAAAACCAAAAGGGAATTAGGTTATTTCATAGTCTCTACAATGATGTTTGTTTTGTTGAAATGAAATAAAAAATCCGGTTTTTAGCTAAAAAAAAGAAAATATTAGTTGATAATAGTGATAAAATTTTCAAATTTACAAAATAGTTAACCATTAAGCAGCCTTAATTTTGGTTTAAGGGCACACCTAGTGTGAAATTTCAAAAAAATCGAGCTTTTTTCATATTTCGGTGGACTGCACCTTAAAAAATATCATTAAAATTTCAAATCGATATCTCAAATAGTTTTTGAGTTACAGCAATTTAAAGAGCAGCCGCTCGGCAGCTAGAGAGTCTCATTAGCTAAGAGTGAAAACGATCTTTTCATCTTAAACGCATTTTTCTCGAAACAGCATTTTCCGAATTTGCTGCAGTGATTACTCAAAAACAAATGATTCGATCCCTATCGAATTTTTTACATGTTCTATATATAGTTCTCCGTACAATGACCTTCCGAGTTTTGATCTGATCAAAAAATCGAATTTTGGCCGCCCAAAAACGACTAAAATTTTGGGTAAAGTTCGCCTTTTTTTAAAACGCCGCCATATTGTCAATTTTTATTTTTTTTTTTATCGTAGGTCACTGTGCAGACAGTATTATTTAGTAGAGAGTTTTTTTTGTAGATTTCATCCACGGAGAAAGCCGGAATCACTGCAGCAGTGAAGGACCTTCGACTATAACTTAAAAAATATTCAATTTTTTTCTTCAAAATTTTCACTGTATATTCTTGAAACATGTATAAATTTTTTTTGTTAAAATTTTGAAATAATTGTTAAAGTATTTTGTTTTTAATAAAAATTCTCAAAAATCATCTTTTTTTTAGGCCATTACACTAGGTGTGCTCCTTAAGCGAATCAATTCGCTGCAATATCAGTAAAGGCACTACAAAACCAAAAGTAAAATTAATACAAAAAAAAAGTATTTTTCAAAGAAAGAAAATGAAAATTTATTTTCACGAAAACAAAAAGAAAAACTTAAATCGATTCATTGACAAGCATTGAAATGACTCAAATTTGTTATGTGAATATGAGCTTAGTTTGACATTAAACTAGCAAAAGAGTAAAGATAACAAAAATAAATCTGTGATTTTAACAATAACATAATCAGAATGAAAACATCACTTAATTATAAACAACAATGCAAATAAAACAATGCAAATATAAATAACATAACAATAAATTAAGGGAGAAAGGTAAATGACATAAAGTTTGATAGCAAACAATCGCTTAAAGGTATAAATAAATATTTTTTGTTTACAAAGTTTGGAAATTGTGTTGGAAAATAGACAATTTTCAATACCAAAGTGAAAAATGCCTTTCCCACCAATTAAATGAAATCAACTAATGGTAAATATGTTTACATTCCATAGAAAAATAATCAATTATCTTACAATAGCATATTTACAAATACATAGTTATTTCGTAAACTACAAATATACATATGTACAAATTTGCTAACGTAATTAGAAATAATTCATTTCTAAAAAATAGCAAGCCTTAAGAGGGTCCTTAGCGAGTTGCAAAAGCAAAAAAAAAAAAAAAAAAACAATACAAAAAAAATTCAGCTTTTAGAAAGCGCACTTAGTATAAATTCCAAATAAATTGAATATAATTTGCTGATATGTTACGTGTGTGTGCATTTATGCGTATTATGTCCGTGTGCTTGTATATATGTACAATGCAACGATTGGCAGCTCGTTTTCGCTCGTTTTTGCTTTTGCACAAATGTAAAAGCAATGATTAAATTTGCTATTCAAACTCAAAGAAGTGCCTCAATGCGGGTAAGCGTTTGCTAAAAACAGCAAATCGCCTAAATGTATGCAATATTTACATAAAAAAGACTTTAATATGTACTTACAAATAGGGATAACGAAAATGGCAGTATTTAACAACAAAAAAAAGTATGCGCAAAATTCGAAAGAGTTAATAATTTATACACAATTCAATTGGTTACTAATCCTATAATATATGTATGTACATGTATTTATACTCGTATGTATATGCGAGATAAACTAGTGCATCTAGCAACGTAACAATTCAAACGAATTTTCTTTTCGTCCCTAATACTAATAAAGGCTATGTTTAAAATATAGATTGTTGTTGGTTTTGTTGTTGTGCAAGTGTTTGGTGTTGATGTTGATTAAGTTGAAACATTGGTTGCGGTGATGTGTGGTGTTGCTGTTGCTGCTGCTGCAACTGATTCAATCGTTGCAAATGTGCAGTGTTTTCATGCTGCTGCTGCTGCTGCTGCTGCTGTTGATGCTGTTGATGCTGATGTATCTGCTCAAAACTATAACTGCCGCCGTTAAAGTGATTCTGATGGATGTGTTGTTGTTGTTGTTGAGATGTATGCTGTGATTGTGACTGTAATTGCTGCTGCTGCTGCTGCTGCTGTGGCTGGGGTGTAGAGCTCAACGACGATAAGGAAGCCGTGGAAGAGCTCGGCCCGATGCCTACAAGCATTTGAGACTTTGAATTTCTCGTAAGCGGCTTGTGGTTCTTGACGCCGTCAGAGGAATGTTGCCACTGCCAGCAGGCACGACAAAAGTATCTAAAGTCATAATTAACATATTTAATAAGGTATTAGTCTTATTCTAATTATTATTATTATTATTGCTGTCAAGTCAAACAGTTCTCTGCAGTAGAGCTCTAAGCATCTCTCCCTTTAAGATCGCTAGTGCGCGATAAGGAATGGTATGCTTCCCGGATACCGTTCCACCTTCGGGAGTAATGTCGACTTACTGCGGTACGGGGGTCTTTTGCAGTCAACCGTTACTTTTCCTCTTTCTTTTTTCCTACCGCGGAAAGATGACAGCTTAGTAGATGGCCAAAACTTCAGCATCGGATCCCTGCTCGCGTGAAAGTGTGCCGTAGAACACGGAGTAACTAAAGAAAATTCATCGGTTACCCTTTTGACGGAACCAATCAGACCTCCACAGTCTTCTAATCCTCTTCAAGCTTCGGGACACATGCTGAACAGAGATGCACCCCTTGAGGTTAAACAGTCGCCAGCTGGCAAAAGCCCAATCCACTTGAGGAAAAGGCTAAATCACTAGCCAGCTCACGGGAAGCTCGTCTAAATGGGCCCATTCAGGACAAATCATCACAAGAGAAGGTCACTAACCTTGTGAGTGTTGCCACGTCTTCACGGGCAGCAAGTGCAATTGAGTCCGATCATAGCAACTGCTGTTTCAAAACTCCGTTAAACTTTCCATGAGAAAGTACAAAAATCGTAGAAAAGTTCGGTGCCAACCTAGTAGACAATCTGACGGCGGAAGCAAAAACCCAGTTTTTATTGAGCCAAACAAACTCTCACTTCAATAGGTGGGTGACCAGTAGGCTGTAGGCAGTGAGAGCAAACACCGCCAAATCAACTTCTAAGAGACTCTGCAAATGACTCTAAGAGCAGACAATATCATGCAAGTAAATGCTAGATATTCTAATTATCATTAACTTTCCAATAAACTCTAAATCTGATAAAAGTAACATCATAAGTCACAGTTTGGTGAAATTGGCAATAAGCTCTCTCCAACCGTTAAAATCTCTTGGACTAGTATTTATTCAGCCATGTGCCACATCCCGAGAACGATCTTTATATCAAAGGTAGGCAAGGAAAGTCGTATAAATCGAAAGGATTTTCGATCAATAAGCCTTACATCTTATTATTAAACTAAAAAGAATGATCGACACCTAAATACGTCAAGTGAGACCTCTAAATAATCTAGTGGGTTACTAGCACGCCTAATCTAAGGGGAAATCTGTAGACACCGCTCTTCACGATATTGTCGGGAGGATTGATAGAGCTCTCGGCCTCAAAGAGTACACATTGAGCGTATTTCTCAGGACATTGCCTTTAGCAATGTCTTCCCAGCGTCTGCTTCCGAGGAATATGTTTCGGGGTGTGAGTAGTGAATCTCGTGAAATCTCTCTTAACAACCACACCAAATTTCTCTGATAAGGAGGCACAAAAGATTCCAGGTATGCCATTATAAGCACCCCTAAAAGTTGCATCACAGTCAACATATGCTTCGCAATCTAACAAGATTGTTCTTTCAATGCAATTGCAAATGCAGCAGTTCTGAATCATAGATCCGTAGCCATCTTCGCTGACTGTTCTAAGCAAAAAGACAACATATGTTGCAGATCTTACACGGAACCGCTTGTTATAGAATTAAGTAAAAGACTTCTTCTGCACATGACGTGGGCATATCGGTTTCCTCGGCAAGGTATCTGCTAAGACTAGCCTACATAAGTAGGGCCAAAAGCAGATGGTAGAGAACCAGATCACTACTCTAGATCTTTAGAAGGATGGGGTGCTTCTCAAACGACTTTTGCCGCAGCTATAGGGTTGCAGATGAGAAGGAAACGGTGGAGCATTACCGCTGTTACTGCCCAGGACTCAGTACGATCCGTTATCGTTTTCTCGGAAATTTATTCTTCGATTGCCTTGTAGAGCCAACCTAACACCGATTGGCTTGCACTTTTGGAAAGGGGAAATGGATCTCCTTATCAGTGCCTGCATAGGTATCACAACGAGTCAATAGGCTTAAGTGAGTTTTAGTCTTAGTCTTACATTACATTATAAATACTATCTATCCAACTTACCTAAAACAGGACAGCTCGCGACAGAAATATGGTCCATGCTGCACTCCACAAATGGAACAAAGCGAGTCCTCCAAATAAGGATCCACCTGCACTTTTTTGGTGAACTTCGTAGTACGTATTTCGATATACGCCGCTGAAACCGCTTTCATATATGATCGATTATTGTTGAACGTAACTCGCCCAGAGCCAATGGGATATTTGTATTTGTCGGTGTCGATACCTGGAAACACAAAAGGAAATTTTGTAATGAGACCCATGCAAACTTTGGTAGGCTACGTAGAGAAGAAGGGTTTATTCTCTGAACTAGTGGTATTATTGTTGACACTCTGAGACGTGGAATTCTGTTCTTTTAGCTCCGAAAGCCATGATAGTATGTAAAGAGTTTGCACAATGTGAACACGGAGAAGAATCTTTCGATTACTTGCATCCATATAAGACCTACACAAATAGGTAACACCATGTTGCTGTTGTGATAGCGGTTCTCCAACCCAGCTTAAGTATACGCTGGTTAGTCTAAGTTATCGAGATAATCTAAATTCAGAAGATCCAGGAAATGAGCTTTTTCGACGGACTCGTTCCAGAGGTTGAGGGGGTTAGATGAGTTGATTTTAGTGGGCATGGAACGAAGTGGTTAGTTTCGTGCGGGTACTCTTTACATGCGGCACATTCGTCAGGTATGGCGTGGTCGAGTCTGGATATAAGTAAGAATTTAACCCGCTACAATATCCTGACCTGAATTGCGCCAATATCACGCGGGACTCTCGAGGCAGCTCGAGCCTTTCTTCTGCTATGGATGGTGGTTTGACTACGAGAATGTCATTTATAGGAAAAGAGAGTTCATGAATGCATTAACTGATTCTTTGTAAATGCCTGTCTGTTACGCCGTTCTGTTCAGCGGTTTCTGCATATGTTGCTGAATGCATTCCTTTAAGTCAAGTAATCCCTCTCTGATGTGCCTATTTGATGCTTTAGCTTCTAATGAATGTTTGTTACAGAAAGTGATGCTCTGGGGATGTTAGAAGGTTTCATGTCGCGGCCCTGAGGGCTGTGTTTTGGCAGTCGACCGAGTCGACCATCACAGGCACAAAATTAGGGTTCTCGAGAGATTACTGAAAAATCAGATGTATTTTTAAACTAAACGGCTATGTCATCCAAACAGATGCCGTTGATGTTGTAATATATAATTGGCGTTTTATTAACGATCAAGGGATATTCGGTCGAGCTCCTCCTACAAATTGTGATGCATGTCATGAAGTATTCCCAATAATTGGAGCCGCCTCCGGGCCGCTGATGGATTTTTCTGAAAAGTTGTTATTTCGTGCCAAAGGGGTTGAACCACCTTGCCTTGGGAGCGATCTCTAACCCTCCGCATGGTTGTACGCAGTGCTAACCATTGTTATTAAATTATTTATATACCTGCATAAAGAACACCGTCGAAGAGATCGTCCATTATTTTCGCCAAACCTTCTGCGGTGAGCTTGCCATGTAATGCGCCAACAAATACCGTCTTGGTTGGATCTAATTTCTGTGAAGTGGACTTGACAAAATTCGAATCAGCTATTATCCAAGGAATAACCTCAACCTGCAAATGAATAATGAAGCCCGTTGTAGAAATAAAGATAGACTAAAATAATTTAATATTTATCAACCAACTCACATCCTTCGCTTTTATGCGTCTCGACGAAATCTTGAAATAATAAATGCCGCCACTATGTGAGTCGTCGACTTGCAGCACGCAAGCGGACAACAAAGCCTTTACTTGCTTATCAGACTCGAAAATAATATAGACATAACCCTTGGGCTGTGCCGCCTGCTGTTCCTTGCCCGGCCATTCAACTCTGAAAAAAAAAATATATTAATAGTTTGTGAACACCTTTTCAGGGTTGCCGAATTCTCAAAATAAAAATTTCCAATTCACTGCGTACCTAATTTGTCCGAATGGCTTGAATATTTGTATGAGCGACTGTTCGCTTATGTCCCATGGTATGCCGCCGAGAAACACTTTCGGCGAATAGTTTAGCATACGATGTGAACGTGGTGGCAACTGCCCGCTCCATGTGCAGGTGGCGTCGTAGAGAGCAGCCGAGCTGCGATAAAATTTCGCTACACGATCCAAATGCGCATCTGTTGCAGCGGCGGCCGCCGATTGCGGTTGTGCCTGGGGCTGCGGCAGGCTCTTGAACTGATTGATGCCATTGCTATAGCCGTTCAGCAAATGATTAAGCAGTGGCACTTGTTGCGATTGAGCTTGCAACAATTTGAGCGTATTGAAAGCTTGCATATTTTGCAATTTCGATAATTCCAAATCGACTGCGGTGAGAGCGTCAAAGTTCTGCAGCTGCTGCTCGTCGAAGAGATTTGTGGTAAAACTAGACACATTATTGGCATTGCCGAGACCGCTGAGCGAGGTAGTGGTGGATGTATTCTGCTGTTGCTGGCCGAGTGACAATTGTTGGTCGAAACGTAACGGTGAAGAGATTTGCTGATGTGGCTGCTGTTGTTGGTTCAGCGCCATTTGCGACTCATTTTCGGCTACCGAGAGCAAGTTCTGTTACAAATGGGATTTAAGTATTTTTAAATTTACTTAAAAATTATTATTAACTGCAATAACTTACAATCATATCGATCAGATTATGCTCAACATTCGATTGATTGCTATTCTGACTTTCCGGCGAATTCGAGCGACTGTTCGAGAGGCAACCGCCAATGCCACCACCGCCGCCACCGACGAAGCTATTTTGATACATTAACGGTATCGAATCAACCGATAAGCCATTGGCACTCGATGCATTGCTGCCATCACTAAATTTTAAATTACAAATAAAATATAAAATAAAAACTATTTCGTAGCTAAACTTCCACCAGTCATTTGTAGAAATATGTTTTTTGTTGTTATAATTAATATTTTCGATAAGTAAAAATATAGCATATTTATTATTTAAGTGAGCTTTACCTGACTAGAGGTGAATTGAGAAAAGAGCGATTGTAAATAGAGGTGGGCGAACTTGCCGATAAAGGTGCAGAACAATCGAAGCTGATGTTTCTTTGAAATACCTTAAGTGGTGTGTTATTTTGTGCAACATTTTCAAACTAAAATTAAATTCGATCCCATTTCATTAATAATACAAATAAGAAGAAGAACATACAACAAGAAAAATAAAATACACAATATGATAAAATTATACAATACATTCAAATATAATACGAGTACATAATTAGTTGTAGGAAAGTTAGTAGAGCAAAATGAGAAAATATACAATACATACGTGTATGTTAAACGCACTGGAAACATACAACTTTTCGAATGCGGTATATATGAACATTAAAGCAAAATATTGTATATATATATATCCATATATTTATATATACATATATATGTGTGTTTTGTATTTTATGCAGAAAGTGTTGCTACCTCAAAATTGTGAATCTTAAATAAGTACAACTCGAATGAAAGGAGAATAAACTTAAATTCAGCTATTTTTATGACGCACCCAGTGTTACCCACCTCACGCCCAGCCGACCGACGGGTGCTCGGGAAGGATAATAGAAAAAAACAGACAGACTGGTGACCGAAAACGAGAGACAGTCCGTCTGTACCAGGGATCGAACGCAGAAGGTCGCAGTTACACATCAGCTCATCAGCTGCTATAAATTAAATGGGCAAATTGAGAAGGAATTTACTTAGTAAGAAAAGGGCCTAAAATGTCTACAGATGATCTTAAAGACATGTTAAAGTTAACCTTAACCTCTTTTTCGGTTTTTACAACTTTTATGTACATGAAATGGTACACTAACTTTGATGCGTAGTATGAAAGTACCAAACAGGGAAGAGGTGGTCCCATAAAAATTTATACCCATCAGTTGAGAGTAACGAGTTGAGTTGATTCAACCATGTTCTGTCTGTTGAACGCAAACTGGTCCATCATTTTTTGAGAAATTTCAACAAAACTTGGTACATATAAACGACCATAAAACATATGTGTATATTACTGATTTTTCGTAATGGAGATTTTGGGTAAAAAGATTTTCACAAAAGCTCCCAGGACCGTGAAATTTGGTAATCTGCACACATATGATGGATGAACTACACATTCGTGCTGAAAATTAAAGAAATCGTACGACTATAACAAATAGCTTCCATACACTAAATCATTCAGTTGAGGTTAAGATAATTTCGAGACAGGACTTGAACTCTAGCTTTTTAATGGCAGTGCACTCGGCTAACCACTCGGCTATGGTGATTAAGATATTACTTGGAGGGACTAAGACTTTAAACACATTCCAACTGAGCGACAATGCTGTAAATATACGCCGGACCGTAGCAGTAGTTGGCCCGATTGCGTGACGTACGGTCAACCACTCAATAAGTCGATGGAATTTTGTAACTAGTGGAACCAAATCGGCATGCAAATTTACCTTTAAATAAAGGAGGTACTAGGCATCGCTCACGTGAAAAAATGCTGGCTGCTCGGAGACGCTTAATAGGCGTTTAGGCGTCAAATAAATGAATACGAAAACAAATGATTGACCAAATTACCATCAGTGGCAAAATTGAATTATTTCTCAAGCGACCCATCACGGGCGATCAAAAGAGGGTTTAATATGTGAATCTTAAACGAAAATAAACGCATGGCCAAAGGCATACGCCCTTATACTAACGACTTAAAAGCCTTTATGGCCGTACTGGAACGGAATTGTCCCTTATGATCGCGCTCCGTTGGTGATTATTGGCAAGGTACTCGCATCACTTTCTTTGCAGAATTTGGGAATATGGTTGGACCGCCGAATCTTGAGTATTCTGTACCCAATCCATAAGAAGGCAGTCACCACATTTATTGTAAGTTTAGCTTTCACAATATAACATATAAGGTCATCACAGGGAGAAATTCAGGTATAAAGAATTTCGACCTAGAAAATCCATCATTGATCAGATAGTCACAGTGCGTCATATACTGGAAGGAGACACCACCTCTTTGTCAATTTTAAAGCTGCTTTCGACTGTACGAAAATAATGGGTTGTTGCTGTCGTATGCCACCATGCTTGAACAAGAATCCCCGCAAAATTTATTCGGGTGCACAAACGGACGTCACACAGCACCGTAATTTACGTTACAGTTTGGTTTCTCCCTTTCTCAGGAAAAGAAGTACGAATAACTCTACGAATGGAGAATTTACAATTTATTTATAAGAAGGTAAAGTGAAAGGTCTTCCGGGCGCTTATAGCCCTTAACACACTGTAGGCGTTGGAACGATAAATTAAGGTTATATCTATGCAGTTCTCTTTGGTATAAACACAGGAAAAGGATGAGGAAGAGAAAGAGAAAGAGGAAGAAGAGCTGAAAAAAAGAGAAGGAGGAAGAGGTAGAGATAGAGATAGAGGAATAGGAAGAGGAAGAGGAAGAGGAAGAAGAAGAAGAGGAAGAGGAAGAGGAAGAGGAGGAGGAGGAGGAAGAGGAAGAGGAAAAAGAAGAGGAAAAGGAAGACGAGGAGGGAGAGGAAGAGATTTAGAAAGAGCAAGAGGAAGAGTAAGAGTAAGAGTAGGAGAAAGAGGTAGAGGTAGAGGTAGAGGTAGAGGTAGAGGTAGAGGTAGAAGTAGAAGTAGAAGTAAAAGCAGAAGCAGAAAGTAGAAGTAGAAGTAGAAGTAGAAGTAGAAGTAGAAGTAGAAGTAGAAGTAGAAGTACAAGTAGAAGTAGAAGTAAAAGTAGAAGTAGAAATAAAAGTAGAAGTAGAAGTAGAAGTAGAAGTAGAAGTAGAAGTAGAAGTAGAAGTAGAAGTAGAGGCAGAGGTAGAGGTAGAGGAAGTGGAAGAGGATGAAGAAGAGGAAAAGAAAGCGGAATAGGAAAAGGAAATGGAAAAGGAATAGAAAAAGGAAGGAGAAGATGAAGACTATGAGTAAGAGAAAGAAGAAGAAGTAAAAGAAAAGGAAGAGGAAGAGAAAGAGGATGAAGTTTTCGAAAAATTGACGACTGGCAGTTAAGAAGACGAAAGCAATATCATATGGTCGGGAGTCCTGGTGGCAAAACAGCGGTTCAATTTTTCGGGATCAATACATTCTCAGGAAATAACGACAACGCTAGTGTCTAGACATTTCTCACATGTTTTAATATGATACGATTTCATACCGTTATATATCTACAGGATGTGCCATCGAGACCTTCAGTATTTCAAAATTTTGACTGATGTGTATAATAAGAAAAAATTTTTATATAATATTTATTTAATTTTTTTTACATATGTATATGTAAATGCATATATATAATCCAGTTCAACAATTTCTGCAGAAATGTTAAGCGTTTGAAATGCATATATATTGTATATATATATATATATATATATATATATATATTATATGTTTGTGTGAGTATGTATGAAAAGGCATATCTTATTCTGCAGTGCAGTGCATAAAGGTGCATTAAATCACTACGGTGCAACAAACAAAATTCCAAACAAACGAACCGAAAGACTCATAACAACATTACGAAAATTCGAGTAAAAACTACACACGAGATTGCTATTGCTGCCAAATAGGGCAAAGCTTTTAACTTCCGATTATTTGCAAACAATAATACTCACCTGAAAGATATCAAAAGAATTAGCTGACAGGGTGCCGGGCGAGGCGGAGGACTGCGACGAACTCGGTGTCAATGGTGTGTAGGCTGCCATCGAAGTAGACAGAGTGTCCCCATTAGTACCCAGCAGCAAAGGGTTTGTGGTCGATTTGCCAAAGCCGAGAAAATCGTTAATGGCAATAGGCGGATCTGCAAGGAGGAAGAAATTACAAATAATAAATACTAAAAATAAATAATATGTTTTATCTTATACTCGTATTTGTGTGTATTACCATAAAATTCTTATATCGCATTGGCATTGGTCATTTTGTTTATTATATTATATATGTGAATTTTTGGTATTTTTCATTATACATTCCTCTATGAAGAGATAATGAAGTTAAAAAAAATCGCTTTTCTGCCTTCAATTTCGCCTACATCCTAATTGCAATGATTGGCAATTGGTATGGTCACAGCTCATGTCTTATTAGTTGGCAGGCTGTTTGCCATTGCTCTCTTGCATTGTATTAATGACAACTTATAACAACTACAAACAGTTGCTGCTGCTGCTGCTGCTGCAACTGCAGCATAGAGCAAAAGTTGATTGTGACTAAAGAGAATGAAATACTTGGTGACAGCGTAGGAACAAGCCGCTAGATAGCGAGATACAGTTCTATTCATACATAAGAGTCTATGCATATGTACATACGTGTATGTGTGTACATATATACTAGATATACGAGTTTATACAGTATGTGTATTTGTTTGCATTATATTGGTACTCGAGCAGCAGCAATAATAATGCCATTTAATGCAATGAAATATGCCCACAATAAATCAAATTTATCTGTAGTAATTTTTATTTCTGCTACTATTAGTTTTGCTATTGCTGACGCCGCGCGCCGATGTTGCAAGCCACTAGCGAATATGGTGACTTGGGCATTGTCGCATTACCCGCTGTGACCATAAGTACATTAAGGCGGCTCGAAAACGAATGCAATTTTTCTATCATAGATTTTGTCAGTGTCCACTTTCGTTCGAAATTATTCACTATTTGCGTTTAAAAATACTGCAAAGATTGAAAAACACCAAAAGCAAAGACAAAGTGACACCCAAATGTGTGGACCTCTTTAATCTGTTGCTGAAAAAAATAATACGAGCTGAATAGAGAAAATACAATCTTCTATAAGAGTGTATAGCTTCTGACGTTCCTCGCTTGTATTGATGTCATTGGTAGTTAAAAATAACTAGACGAACTATATTTTGTCATCAAACCAAAAGCCTGCAAATTCGCGTCTTGGCTCCCATTTCACTGTTGCTAGCCATAACCTTGAGATTGTAGACAATTTCCTATTCTTACACATCAACGAATCATTCTTACCAGCAGGAGCTACTTTGGAATTAGTTGTAAATCAAAAAGAAAAGATCTCTTTTGACGAACACAGTCCAAACTCTAAAAATTTTGTATCATTCGAGTGCTGCTCTATGAGATTTTACGGAGAATTTATGACCATTTATGCATTGGTAGGGGATAATACCGCAAATGATGGAACGATAAGCTGTAGGAGTTATCTCCTGCGACCTTAACTTAGGTCAGCGAATCATGAAGCAGCGATTACGCCGGCTAAGTCATGTCCTCCGCATTGGAAAGAACTCTCATTGATGGGAGCAGAGGAAGAAGAAAGTCTCAACTCACCTGGAAAGATCAAGTGGTGTATGAATTGATGCCGTGAGCGATGGGTCCAATTGGTGGTCTTTGTCTTGATGTTCTCTAACAAATAAAGTGACCTACAGTTTATTCTAAGCTGCTTCCACACGGCTTATGGATTTTTATAGTTACCTTTCTATCTCATGTCAAAAATACATTCGGATGGATTTTTTTTTAATTAATTTTCTTTCATTTTGGATGTTGTATATGTCTGTATATCAGTACGCTGCGCATGCTGCTCGACTTCTGCGGCCGCCTGAGTCCGTAAATATTATATCTAACAGAAATACTGACTTTTGGCATATTGGCGCCGAATCAAACACCGAACAAATCCAAAGCCCTGTCTGTATGATTCCTTCAACGTTGGAGGGCAGTCTCTCCATACTTTTGCTATAATTTTGTACATCATTAGGTTTAAGACTGCATAAATAAAGAATTATTTGCTATTCAATGTTTTCAAGACGAGCTTTTTATTTAATTGGTCTATATATTTATGCATAAATGACGTTTTTCTAACAAATTCGAAAAATCCAACTTTTCGTCGATGCTATAATTGCCTGGGGTCTTTAGCATAAAAACGAAAGAAAAAAAATCATTTTTTATAATTTTGGTCAGTCATCTAGTCGGAGTTCAAGCCATAGACTCTCTCCATTGTAACTGCACTGCTAACCGCTCGGCTAATACGTCTGCATTGTGCCATACATAAATCGGTTGGAAACTCTAAAATGATTTTCAGGCCAATATATTCAGTTCGATGAGCTCAATAATGAAAAAAAAACGCCAAAATCAGCTTTGTATTCTATTTTTTGTAGGAATAAAATTTATAATTCAAGAAAAAGAAGTGAAGTAAGCATTTGGTTATTTTGCCGAAAGGAAATCAGTTCAAAGGATTATAAAATTCATTTAACTAAGATATTCTATAATGGATTGAATATCCTTCCATATTGAGGATGCGATTAATTTTTAAAATAATTTAATTAAACTTCTTAAAATTCACCTCTGCTATTGGAACTGAATAAATGCGTTGTTAAATTCAATTTTACTCAATAAAATTTTTATTTTGATGTTGTGAATTATAAAAATTTGCTCGCATAAGCACAGTGTTTCGCTTAGCTTCGAAAAAAGGTGCATGGGTGTCAAATCGCACGATCTCGGGAAAGATTGACATTTTACGCGGTCGGAAATTTCTCTCGCTATAAAGCCATATTTGCTCGTGGCATGTGGCTTCATCTTGTTGACACCACATAGAGACCAATTCGTGTGTGCCAGTTACAGGCCGTCGATTATCATACGTTCCGAATTGACAGTGGCAGTTTCGCCGTTCGAAATGTGTCTCGTCGCTGAAGGAAATTTTGTTCGAAATATCACAGTCCATTGCCTAATCGACGTATGTACGGCATTGTTAATGGTCGGTTGGCTTCAGTTGCCGTGCGAGCTGGACTTTATATGTATGTAGGTGCAAGTTCAAGAGAGAAAGTACGCCATAATATGCCGTAAAAAGTCAATGATCTTGAGAGTGTCAAGAAATATACTCATTCGGATCTTCGGCCACCCTTTCTGTACTTTTAAAACTACGAAATGGATAACCCTATAGTTGCTGGATACTTATTTGAGATAAGATAAAAAATTTTAAGAAAAAAGAAAACAAGTTCAATTGCGAAATTGTTTAACTAAATTAAAAAGCCTCAAACCATAAACGCTTTACATCAGTTGTGGCAAAATTATAATGACAACATTGTCGTACAAAAACCGGAAGCTATACAACGAACTGTAAGTTTTGTAGAAAGTATAATAATGTATTGTATAAAAATATGAATATATTCATAATCTCATTATTTACCCTTAGTTTTAGTGAACAGTAACTGAAACTCTTTGAATTCGCTAATTGAGTGCTTGTGTGAACAGCATTTAGGCATTTGCTTTTTGAAACTAAGTAAAGAAAATGATAAAAACAGTAAGAATTTTAAGCAATATTAGAGTAACAATAATTGGGGTCGCCCCTCGTCAGGGAGGTCAATTTTTGTCAGCAATAGCTGACATGAATTAAAAAGTTCTATCCATTAGAAAAAAAAACCACCAATTGGAGAAGAAATGCGGCCAAAAATCGTTTCGCCAATTCTCATTGTTACCACCCTCTGTTTAAATGCAAAAATATTATTTATAATAATTTTTACAACATTTTTGTAACTTTATGAATAACGCAAAACATTTCGCCATAATCCTCAACAACATTATTTAATTTCCAATGAAAAACATTATTCGATTCCTCGTCTATGCTGTGCGACACATCCTAATTTACGCTTAATATGCAATACAAATAATTTCAAATTAGTAGTGCGAGTTCGCCGCCAGTTTTCCTTTGACATTGTAGTACATTTCCTTCGCCTTTTTGCCTTCAATGAATTTTGCTTTATAACTTTTTCAGTATCAAGCAAATATAATAAATTAATATATATGTGCAAATGTATAGCTGTGTTTGAAGTGTGGATATTTGTACAAGTCTTCGCAAAATTGCATTGCCCCCAGAAAACATAGGCTTCTCGCCCACAGTAGCAAATTTTGTCAGAGAGTTGCAATATTTTGTTCCGTTCAAAGTGTAGGCAGAAGGAGTCAAGTGCAGTTGGCATTTACTTAGCATGAAATCTAACCAAATAAAATGTTTTTCTTCGAAGTTGAAATGGCCACAGGGCACAGCAACACATATATACGTACATACGTGTGTTTAAAATGCATTTGTTCAAGCATATGCAAATAAAATTAACTACATAATATTCTTATATCTTTGTACTTGAATATCACACATTCGTATGCACGAGTACGAGCTGTGAAGTGTGTTCTTGTTGCTCGCGTAGTAGGGCTGAATAGATCAATTGCCAGAACTTCGTGAGTGATTTTAAAAGGGTGCACATATATATATTTACATTTACATATCAACAGTAAAAACTTTTACTAAATAACTAGACGAATGTTTATATAAAGTGTTCAACTTCGTGATTTCATAGGACATTCAAAATATATGAAAAAAGTGTCCTGTTGCAATTGTCCTGTGATTTTAAATAAACTCATAAAGAGAAATCTAATAGTGTTAAATCAGACGACCTTGAGGGCCGATTCTGATCGCCGAAACGAGAGACTACACGAACTCGTAATTTCTCATGCAGTAATTGATTGAGTTTAGGCTGTATGACGGCACGTCTTGTTGAAACCCCATTTTGGCTAACTGTATATCATGCAATTTCGGCAAACTGGGGAGCTGAATTATCATGTCGCGACATCGTAACACAGACCAGCCTCATTTTCAAAAAAGTATGGTCTAATTATGCCTCCAGCACAAAATCCATATCAAACAGTGACATGTTGGGGATGCGTTTGTGTTCGTGAATCATATGTGAGTTCCAAGAAACTCAAAGCACTTTTGAAGATTAACAAACCCACGATTGTGAAAAGGAGCTTCATCGTTTAGAATGAAAATCTGCATCCATTTGTTGGTGCTACTTGGAATTTGCAATTCTTGTCCACCTCGCCGAATATTCCTGTATTGTCACCTACACTCTCACGCTTTGGGTCTCTGGACGACCAGAGTGTTTGAAATCTCCAATGGAGCCTGTGTCCCGGAATTTTTCAATGCGGCCGCAAAACTTTCACTATTTTGAGATGTTAACGTGTCTTCATTACGTTGTTTTATTGTGTAACACTCCATGTTCACTAATTTTAAACACTTTACTGCATAAAATACGGCAAATTTAAATCGTTCGTTAATTTTGAAACACCCTCTAACTTCCGGGACTAACTAAGAAAACACGTTCTTTTTTTTGTGGTACAAAATTGACTTATTCATCCTACCTTTTTTATGTTTTTGAAATGGGTGATCTTTCTTTTGAATTAATTTATTCAAAATTTATTCAATTAATTTATTATATCCTCATGCAAATACTACAACTACTTGACTTTATCATTGCTGATAAATTTCCCCCTCAGATTTTTTTTAATTTTTAGAAACTGGTAATAATCATTCGGGGTCAGGTCTGGTGTGTAGTGTAAGTAATTCAAAATATCGAAGCCCACCTTATGCAGGACAGTCGAAGTAACGCGAGTCTTGTCGATGATTATTTTAGCGGAGGCGTGAGCACTCTCGGTGCTCTTAGTCAGGCCAAGATGAGCGTTCATTATTTTAAAATGGGCTGGATTGGCTACTCCAACCATCTCTGTTTCAACTGTTTCTTCTTTAGTCGAGCATCGGCGAGAACAAGTTTTTCGTCTTTTTGATGCGCAAGAGTCGGTCTAAGCCAATGTCATTTCATTCATTATGGTTGCAACCGATTTCCCTTGCTTGGTAAGGAACCTTATAACAGCATTATGTGTGATTTTTTCACATACAAGTATTCCACTTTTCCCTTTCGAATATATTGCTAGTTTAACGGTAGCGCAAAAAGTATTGTCTAATAACACCGAAACCTCATATTTATACTAAAAATAAGGCACTGAATATTTTAGGATCATAATGAGCATTATCATCCCTACAATCCTTTCATTTAGCGAACATAAAAACTCTTTCTGTCACCAGCAAATTTATGTTGTCACATACCGATGCAAACATATAAATTTGGCCAAGCACCGCTTAGAATCAAGAGCACTCAATAATCCTGACTCTGAGAATCCAGACAATTTTTAAAACTCCATACAAGACAAAAACGCGAAAAATAGCAAAAAATTTAAATTGTGAACACCTTATTACTCCATGTTTTTTAAATTATTTGTAGACCTTGTCTGAACAAGGCATTTCTAATCGATGGACCAATAAGAAGTGCTGGTGAGCTAAGGGACAACCGTATTTGGAAATCCAATTTCTGTAATTGTGGATGTTGCTCTGGTCCGGATAAGATATTGCCTATAATCATAGAAAAAATTATTTGTATTATCTTAAAGGAATTAAGGCAACTCAGTCAGTCATTGGACCTAATGAATGTGGCTTCAGAGCCGACAGATCCGCCATTGAACAAAGTGTAAATCAAAGACATCTCGGGCACAGTGAAAAAAGAATTATCGCTGTTGTAGCTGACATTGGTCACCAACAAACGTCTCATCGGAGTGGAAGGGTCAAACAAAAGTACAGACTGGATGGCGTTCAATCGGCTTACTTTCTTAAAATATTGGTGGTAAGCAAAATTTATCCATATAGCTAGACACTCATAATATTGGTCAAGTAAAAAGCTCTTTTGTTTTTTACTGATTTTTCAAAATATGATAACATTTGTCCGACTTAAGTCAAATATGCGCCGTTTTGTTCGTAAACTTGTTGCCAACGAGATGCCAACTTCATTATATACCTCTCGGAAGGCTGCGTTCCTATTGGCATCGCCTTTAAGCGCGAACAGGAAAATATGGTAATTACTTGGTGCCAGGTCCGCACTATAAAGTGGGTGCATTATGATCTCCCTTCCGAGCGCCTGGAGCTTCTGGCGCGACACCAAAGACGTGTGTGGCCTGGCGTTGTCCTGATGGAACACTACTCGGCATCTATTGATCAAAGATGGCCTTTTCTAGATGAGTGCTGCCTTCAAGCGGTCCAGTTGTTGATAGCAGAGCGTTTGGCTAGAGGGAAGCAGCACGTAGTAGATGATTCCTTACTAATCCCACCAAACACACAGCAAAACCTGCTGCATCTTTGACATCGAAATTGCCGGAACGGAACCTAGCAAACCACTTTTGTGCTACACGTTCGCTTACAGTATCGGGCCCATAAACTAAATTAATTTTTTCAGTTGCTTTGGCTGCTTTTTCGCCTTGATCGTCTATCTTTTACGAATACTCACACTGTACTGAGTCAATCAATCGAAAAACTGTCCAAGACAAACTTTTAGCGGGAATAAACACGTTTTCAGCGCAGAATAGACATGATTCGGCACGTAACACTAGTACTATGGATAATAACGGTAATAACTCTTGGGTAAAAACCGAACGAACTTGACCTAATATTTAGATCAAGTAACAAGTCATCCATTATTTTTGCAATCAATGGCTTCCGAGATGACGCGAGAACTGAACGAATTTTTATGGAATTGCTTCGATTCGATTAGGAATTATGTAGGAAATTTTTAGAATAGAATGTTGTACGTAACTTTTTTTAATATTTTTAATCTGTAGCAGGAGTATACCGTAACATATGTATGTATGTGTGTACAATAAAATATTTAATGAGAGCTTAAAAGTTGTTAAGCTTTGAAAACTCCAATATCAGCATACTCGTTCATTCCTTAAGTATAAGGTATGCAAAATTAATACTGTGTTGAACATAAAGCTGAAGGAAAAACACTTACCATTCAAAGGTGATATTAACTCATCAGTGGTATCATTTCGCCTGCTCAAAAAATCTTGACGTTGCTCCAGCAAGGAATTGATTGAGTGTTTTGTAAGAATATCAGCGCCAGAACTTGATAAAGACCTCATATTGGCAGCTCTTGATTCATGCGCAACAAAACTGAAAAAATAAAATTTTACATTTTTAATTTAAATTGATTAAGAACTTTTTTAATAAAAGATATAAGGATAATAAATATCTATAATGGACATAAATCTTTTACACATATTTGAGTTGAATTTATTTTTAATTTATCCGCTTAAAGATGAATACTGATGAAGAACTTATTCAAATGGTTCAGTCTTGCATTTTAATTTGATATTTTCGTAGTATTTTTCCATAAAATATAAGAGAAATATTTTTAAAACGAGATCCTAAGACAGCAGAAAAATATGGAAAAATTATTATATAATGGTGACCGCGGTAGCCGAGTGGTTCTACCACATCCACATCCAAAAAGTTATAAAAAGTGAATTTAAATTAAAAAATGAGTAAAATTGTCTAATTACGGTCGCTTCCCGGCAGGGAATATCAACCCTTTCGAGTCTATTTCTGACATGAAATAAAGCCTTTCATGGGGAAATAATCAGCTGTTTGGGACGGCTTAGTATAAACCGTAGGTTCCTCCATTTGTTGTTGAGCTCGGCCTTATTCAACCATCTCGAAGCTTTCATCCAACAAATTTTTGAAAACTATTGGTAGACGCTTTTCGGTATATCACTTTTCAGTTACCATCTGATCCCTCTCCAGTGGAACAGCAGCTACGATTTTAGATCGGGTGAAGTAAACTGACGTAATTACTTTTGCTGCTGATTTTTTTTTTGCTTAGATATTACGGGTGGGTTTGCTTCAGTTGGGCTCTACACCTTGGACTGCTGTTTTGTTTCTTGATCGTGATTATGGAACCAAGACTTGTCTTTAGTAACGATTTTAATAAAGTTGCTAGACTGACCTTTTTCGAATTTGTTCGGGAAAAATTGGACAAAATGCACTCTTTTTGGCTCGATCTTATACAATATAACACACCTCACTCCTTAAAAACACCAGATTTAAATCCAATAGGACACCTGTCGGATTATCGGGATAGGAAGAGTAGAGAATACCATATCTCAACGAAAAGTACACAGAGGGAGATGCTACTGTAAGAATGTAGCAAATCAAACTTAATATTAAGAACATAAGTTAGGACGAGTTTCCTTAGTTTCAATTTTTATAAATATATGATTTATGTTAAAATGAAGGAATGGAATTCTATTATCTGTAAAAAATCCCAATTTGATGTTTCTATTTTATTGATTTATGATCCAAAATCAGAAATCTAAAGAAAACTATTGTATGGAGGCTATATTTTATGGTTGTGCGATCTGGAAGGATCCGACGATTGATTAGTGTAGTATTTTTACCACCTAAAATAATGCAATTTCAAGAAAGTAGATCTTATTCTCTAACACAGGCATAAAGAGCGATTATTTTTCAAAAAATCGACTTTTTAAAATTTAATTTTCGTAATATACAATACATGCATTCAAGTAAATACTCTGAAATTTGTTACACTCATATCTCTAACGACGCGTCAGAGCGCTTGAAAGCGGTAAACCGGTGTGGCACCTCGGCTTTCACAAAAAGATTTTTCGGAAACGGCTAAACCGTTTTGCGTTTGTTTTTAATACGCAATTTAAGACCAAAATTAAGTCGAAAAATTGAATTTTTTCGGTTGATCACAAGATTATACATACCTTAACGAAATCCGCTTGATTTTTTCATTTCAGATGATTCACTTCAGAAACACAAAGGCCACCGCAAAACACCTTTTTTGGGAGGGGTCCCTGGAGACCCGAAACTGTTATGTTTATAAAGCGAAAATCGCTAATTACTCCTCAAAGGTACCATATTATGTGTATAAATCCTCAAAATAATAAAAGTAAAAGTTTCCTCGTCAAAAATGTTTGGAAACCCACATTTTTTAGGGCTCTTAACTAGGTGTAACCCCTTAAAGAGAATATAGATAAGAAAGAGAGGCGAATTAGTTTCAATAAGGGCGGCACCGGTTGATGGGTTTTGCTTGGTCTTTCCTATGCTGGCTTAGGCTGTGATTGGTTCATTGCTTAGGCGGTGTCTTATAAAATTTATCTTTGCTTCTACATACATCTCTATTATTATATGCCAGGGCGTATACGTGACACTGAAATTTCTAGTAATTCCAGTAATTCAACCTACATGGTGCTTTAGTTCACACAGTTCGAAATAATTGCACATGACGCATTGAAAAACCGCAACAATTTGAAACTAATGAATCGCTTACTTTTCACATGAATTTTCGAATCCACTCACTGGCTCGTGTGTGTGTGTGTATATATATATAAAAAAAACCATTGGCATTGAGCAGACGCAGAGAGTTAAGAATATAGTGAATAACTCACCAATGCACTTATGGGTATATGTATCAGAACACACACACACACATACTTACATGCAAATATATATGCGCGTAATAACAGCAACAAATCATTTAGTCTGTGCCAGGCAATGGAGGTATTTTCCAGAAATTCAGCGAAGGCAAAAATATATATATATATATATGGCTATATATATCAAAATCAAACGGCGGTGTGCAATATGCGCGTTGTTGAAATCTAGTAACAAACAATAACAAAAACAGCAGCAGCAGCGATGGTAAATTGAATAGCGTTAGCCATCACGTTTTCCCACATAGTAAGGAGCTGAGTTGCACCAACAACAATAGCATGCAGCCATTCATTTGCCTTTCCTCTCCTGAGTTGACCTTTTGCCCCGCATAGAGACTGGCAGCAGTGTGGCCGACACCACAAACGTTATTCCATGCGCTCTAGTTAGCAATAACAACAATAAAATAACTAACAAAACCACCAACAACAGCGACCCACTGCAATCGAACAGTGTTTGGATGTATTATATATGTGAATGCGTATGTGAGTGTGTATGTAGAATAGTGCACACTTAAGTGTTTGGCACAATTAAAAGCGCATCAAGTGTCAGTGGAGTACCATTAAAATGCCAAATTAGTGCAAACATTGTTATCAGGCACTCACCAAACAATTTGGCAAAAATGGCGTACAACTCATTACGCCAGATTAACGGAAAATTATGGGGCAACAAGTGATTGTCACATACATATAGACTCGTACACAATCACAATCACCTATATACATAAAATATATATATACAGAAGTTACCATTTTGCACATTCAATTGTAGGCAAATATTACAAATATACCCACCTACACAATCATACATGCACACACACACACACATGCACATACTTAACTGAAAAGTACTTCTCAGCAACACTTACAAAACTATTTCACTAAGAAGTAAGGACACGCAGAGAGCTGGCACGTCTTTGAAGACGTTGTAAATGCTAGGCAGCGTGTGGAATTGCCAATTGCCGCCCCTTCGCCCACCCGTGGCAGCAACAGTGACTTTTGTAATAGAAACAAGTGCGTAATTAACGTACAAACTATTTAAAGAAGCACACATTATGTACATATGTACATTTATACATACATTGATTTACTTAGAAACTACGCAAGCAGTTCGAAGCTTAGGACTGTCGAGAAGTTGCCTGTTTAACTACATATAGACATTCATTCACATGTACTTATGCATTTGATAACACAATTAAATACATATGTACATACAAAAGTGCAAGTGCGAGCATAAATATTTGAAACTCAGTTGTGGGAACTGATATTTCTAGCTTTCGCTTGAGTAAGATTGCAGATGCATGACAATTGTATTAACAGTCATACGGAATGAGAAGTTTAACAGTACCTAAACGACGAAGGAAGAACCAAACGCTCAACAAAACGCTTAATGACTCCGATGAACTTGTAGGCAATGTAAACCTTAATACACAAAAGCTCACTAGAATCGTTAGAGGCATGAGACCCAGGCGCTCAGTATGAAACCCGCATAATAGCAGAAAGGGCTAAGTTGTTTCTGCCATGACATCTTCTACTATGAGGCATTAGTCGAGTAACTACATGAGTACTGTTATAGTCCTGAACAGAATAGTAAAAAAGCAAATTAAACAAAATACCTCCGGGCCGCACACAATCCATCCCTAGCCAAAACGCCTTGCGATCAAGCACATCTTGGTATTATCATACTGTTTACCGAGCTGATATTAAGTCAGCCTTTTCATAAGAGGACTTCAGCACTACATTAAAAGTGTATGCAAATTCAAGGGAATGACGTCTCAAACGTTCTATGTGCCGCTGCTACGGAAACAATTGGCTTTCGGCAGTGTTAGAAAAAGAGCTGTCACGATGAAGAATGTCGATCTGCAGTGGGGAGAAAACAGATTGCCTACCTCGCAACCTTCTGATCAACCGCAACACGTCAGGAGTGGAATTGATATCGAGAGCTGAAGTGGGAAGCAAAACCCATTTCCGGACAAAGAAAGAAAGAGGCCGAAATTCATGAGTATGAAGAGCTTGAGAAGTTGGCCCAGAACGGTAATGCTTGAAAATTCTATGAAAAGATACGGCGGTTTAATGGAGGAGCAAACTCTTGTAAGACCCAGAGAGGTCAATTTATGGATGAAACACTTTTCCTGCCTGCTAAATGGCAGTGAAAATGAAACAGCCGGATTTGATGGACCCGAATCCACAAACCAATGACGATGGAAACTACATTGCATTACCCGACTTTGACCAGGTTCGAACCGCCCGCTTAAAGAACAACCAAGCGGTTTCTGATGACTGTCATTTGCGACAGGGCTCTCACATTACTGTTGGCAGTCATAGCTTTGAAATCTTAAAAAGTTTCGTCCATCTTCGAACCAGTTTTAGCACCAACAACAATGTCAGCCTCGAAATTCAACGCAGAACCACTCATGCCAACACGTGCTGAGGCAGCGGAGGCAATGTCGATGAAAGCATCTGATAGGAGTTTTCGAACGATTTAAGGTCCTTTGCGCATTGCCGACGATGCAACGAGGAGCTGTGAGTTAGAGGAAGAGGTAAACCACTGGACCTGGCTTCCTGTTAGCGCTGAACAGCTAAAAGCAGTAATTACTGGCGCGTTATTATTGGTTCGGCTAAAACCATGTAAGCGATGCCTACACAAATTAAGTAAGT